GGCAGTTCAAGAAGGTGCAATAAGAAGCCCACATGAAAGCCCAACACGTCTGTCCTTTCTGAAAACAAGCAGTCAGAAGTGCCTGGCAATACCAGTTATAGTACAAATCCACCAGAGCCAGCACAGTCAGGCACAGGACCTATTATCCTGCAAGTCATTTCCCACTAGTTCTGTCTCTCCCTGCAGCATTATTTTTCTGTAGCCGTAACAGTTTAAGGACATAGGAAGGGCATGGTTTGTAGACAGATATAGCATTGAATCAGGTAGAAGGGATGTAAAGACTACGCAAGCTTTCAGAAATACAAGTCCTTCTTCAGAACCTTGTATGCCCAAAAGCTTGTCTGTCTTTTCCAATTACACTAGCTTGCTTTAACAAAGAGACAGTATTTCTGCCAACAAACATCCTGTCTTCTTTGTGCAGTGACAGAAAAACAGAAAAGAGATCTGCAGTACCGCTGCAGTTTACAACAGTGTATGTCTTGTACCACCGAGGCTTCTAAAGCCAAAAAGCATCATCATGGCATCATTCTACCTCAAGATTTTTTAATTATTCACCAGTAACAACTGTTCCAGCTGTGTCTGAAGACAACATTTGATACAAGGGATCCATACTGTAAAGAGTCACATGTTGATTCAATTTTTCAGCCCAAGAATCATAACAGAAATCACATTTAACATTCAAATGCCAGTTATATTAAAACAAAGTTTAAACAAACAAACAAACAAAAAGTTTTCCTGTATTGTTTTTCCTGTATTCTTACCAGTGACACTACAAACCAAGAAACACTACTGAAAAGGCTTATCTGTTCGGGTTTTTAAAATTTATTTCCTAAACAAGAAACAGACTTCTGGAAAAAAACCTGCTCTGCAAGATACATATAACCTCAATAAAATAGGACAGGATAAAGAAAATATTTCTTTCTTTTCAAAACAGGAAAAACCATTTTTAAGCTCCTTCTACTCTAAACCAAAACAAAACCAAGAACTGTGCAGACTTCCATAACTAATGTACTATGAAAACCAACATGCACTGAATATTTTTAAAGGATAGTGTTCCTTTGAAAAGCTGTAACTAATTCATTTGACATCTCCAGCTGAGATACATTTACATCCCTATCTACTAAAACCTGTGCTAAATAAAACAGGGTAGGTTTTTTGCAGCTGTAGATATGTCCTTGGAACACTCAAATAATAACAAATGTAAATAAATAATTTCCTTTATATTTACAGTAAAAAAATGTTATATATGCTCAGTAATGTATTCAGCTTGTTACTTAATTCACTGCATCTAATTTGTATATACTTGTAATACTTTTTAATGCTTCAGTCTAGCAATTAGCGTACTGAATCTTATTAAATATATCAAAGATGTCTTTTTAGTGAGCACAGTCAAAAGCAAATGTACACCTGCAAAACATTTTTTAAGCACTAGTCATTTAAGAAACAGTAAGTGCCATAAAAATTGGTACCATCTTCATACACTAGACACAACAGAAAGCACTAAAAGAAACACTTAAAATGGCACCATCCAACCAATTAGATTTGCAGACACCTTACAAACGTTTCACAGGAAGGAAAATCCCTAACGAGGCTAACTGAAGCCTCCTAAATTAAGTTTGGAGGTTTTTTCTAATTATCTCTCACAGAACCCCCTGAAAATCTCTACACAGAAAACTCAAGATGGATCAGATATTGAAAGTTGGTATCTCTGTTGCACTATTAAAAAAATACTCAGCCTGGCATGCTTCAGAGCCTACTGGTCACACATTTTGTACCACAAAATGCAGTATTTTCACCCCCTATCACAGAATGGGAATATGCTTATTTTAAGTCTGTAATTTTCCTTAGTAACCACAAAAAAAAAAAAAAAAAAGTTTTAAAAAAAAATTTGCTGCAAACTCTAACAACCAAATGAAGCAATTGTAGAAACACAAGTGTGGCTCACACGACAATGCTTTTAATTCTCAATTATTGTTCAACATGATGAGTCATTCAAATACAGCACTAATACACATGTCAGTAATTCAGTCCTGGGATTCCTCATTCTTGTTTGTATTCATAGGCTACAGGCATGTTATTAAAGTCAAGAAAATACACCAGAAAGATTTCAGTGAATTTCTTCAGCAGTCATAAAAAGATTGCAGAAATACTTAACAAGCATTCACCTTCTTGACTCACTTAAAAATAGTCTCACATTCTTACCAGAAGCACAGTGCTGCCACATTACTTCTTCTAGATTTTCACTTCAAAACCAAAATACAATGTAGTGCTCTGCCCACAGCATGCTGTTAATTACAACCCAAATGGAAAGCATTTAGCTTCTATATTGTCACTCTTCCATTCTGCTAATTTCAACATTTTATACTTAATAATCAAATGCATACTAATGTTGAAGTAGCATTGTATGACTGAAAAGCAATAAACTTCACCTGGCACCCTAGCTTTATCCCAGAAAAAATATAGAGAAAATTAACCTTTTATAAATAAACTATAAAATAGGTATAAATCACCATTTCTGGGGAACAGACAACAAAATATGCTTCTAGAACTGGTCAACGAATCAAACAGGCTCTTATGAGTTTTGTCAATCACAATCAAAGGACCCATTCTGTACAACAAATGCAGCTTTAATCAGACACACATACCAGGATATGCTTGCAAAATCAACATTTTCCATTATGAATGGCAGTATACAGTAGAGACAACATTGTTGTTGGCTTGCTTTTTAACAGGAGAATAGGAAAACAAAACATTTACTTCTTCCTATGCAAATATTAGCAATAAGCACTGCTGTTCAGTATTTTCTTTCAACGATCTTTCAGTAGACAGATCAAGAAGAAAAGGTGTTTTCTAAAGAAAAAAAATCTTGCTGTCCATTCAACTATGTATCTTTAACATTCCTATCCAAATTAGTGGGATTCTCCTATAAAATGATTAAATTCAGTAAGCCTGGTGAAGGGCACTGTGTAACACATCATCCTGTAAAAATGAACTTTTACTCACAATGATGGTCAAAAAGCCATGACAGTAGAAAAATCTGATAGCAGCCACAGACTCCTCACAGAAACCTAGTTCCACTAAAGCCATTTCTCTTTTCCCTCAGTTGTATCCCACCATGTCAATTTTGCTTTACAAAGACAAAGTGGCAGTCTCTGCTCTGGTCACTGACACAATTCCTGCTATCAGGAGAATTACTTACAGGAACACAACCTTTTATTAATGACAAGCTTGACAACAACAACAACAACAACAAAAAGATTCAAACAAAAAGAAAATTTTCATTTAATTTGAGTCTCTCTCTCATGCCAATTACTGTTAACTGAAAGGATGTGTAAACAGCACAGCTAAATCCACACAGCAATGATGCAGTGACCCAGAAGGAGACTCCAATGGCCAACTGAGTAAATAAAGCAAAACTGGCCAAACCCAAAGGGTAGCATGCACATGAGCATCTTCTCCACTTAAACAGGCACATACTGAAACCTAGTCTTGTATTTCCAAGTTCTGCAGTAAGTCTTCATGCTCCTGTAAACAGCACTTCCTTATTCTTATTATTCCTTATTGTTCCCAAAACATATATTATACAAAAGAAGAAAAGCAAGTGCCCAGGTTCACAGAAAAGTTATTTAACAAAATACTGAGAAATGAAAAGGGGTTATTGTGTTACACACTTAAAATACAACACACAAATAAAACGTAATTTGTAATTGAAAATTAAACTGACAACTAGTTGTCACTCAGACCAAAATGCTGGATTCAAACATTATTCTTCCCTTTGGGAAAATGTGGCTGTAATTTTTTTGAATGAACCTGATACAAATGTGTACATGAATCTGTCTTTCATCTATACATCTATACATATAAAAGCCTGTATGATTTACCATACACCCACACATCTCAATACACACAAAGCATGTGGAAGCAATTATTTCAGACTAAGTATTTATTGGCTGCTCCCTCTTTCCTTAAAAGAGGCTTGTTATTGATATTACACCAGAAACAAAACTACCTCCTTCTGAAACTTTGGTGCAGCTCCTGTTGAAAGGGCATCACATATTCCCATAGTCCACCCAATAAACACGATAAGAGACAAGAAAAAACACATTGTATCTTTGGTTTTCATTTCAGTACTTAAAATGTAAGTCCACCCACCAACCTAAAAGATTTTGATTTTTTGTCTTTGATTTGGACAGATTCTTCTCAAAGAGCACATCCAAACACATACTAACTAAAAAGCAGAAACAAACTAGGCTCTCCCTGCTGTCTATGACACTTGGTATGCTACTGTGCATCACCTGCACTTTCCATGAAGCATTATACAGAGAAAGAGATGGGAGTCAGGAAGATGATAAAGCACAGCTGAAAGATCAGTTTATACCAACAGATTTATGCCTTTCAGAAAACACAAATGGAGAAGTTTTTGTATCACTGTACTCAGGACAATGCCTTGCACACTGAACTTACGGCATTTCACTGCAAGGCACCTCAGCATTTCTTTGAGAAGCCACAGTTGGCCTTTTTTCTCACAAAATGAGCAGTTTTGCCAGATCCGAAAACAATCTCCTGTCACAGGCTGTTCCAGTTTGCAGCTTCTGAAAATCTGACAGACTTCAACCAAGCTTTTTTCCCATTCCCCTGCCTTTCCATTAGTCTTCCAGGACAGAATTCATTAATGTGTGAAAGCAGTCGCAGTCGACTATCTCAACTTCTAACTTCCATTAACATGCACTTACTGCATTTGCCTAGGAAGTGGCAGGTGCTAGGGAATGAAGGAGAAAGTAGGCCAAACCAGACACATTTCTAGGGAACCTCCCACCATCAGCCTTATATGCTTGAATTTACCAGAAAAATTCCAAATGACCAAAATCACATTTGGATTAGTCCCGAGCCTCCTTCATACCACTCTGTCAAATTTCAAGCAGAAATACTTTTAAAAAAAAAGAAAAGAAAAAAAAAGATAGCTATCATTTTTTTTAAAGTGTAACACACATTTTGCTTACCTCACTGTTGTGGCCCCTCAAATTGAAGTTGATTCTCTGAGGGGTGTTCCGGTCCCTCCTGCAATGGCTGGAAGTAAAAGTGACGCCTACAACTCCTCTGCCATTGCCTGTTGCCAACCAGCCTTCCTCATAGTACCGCCTCCTGCACACCGGTTTCTCCTTCTCACTTTTGGGGACTCTGCCTTTCCAGGAGAGGCAGAGGATGTTGGAATCGCTGCAAAGAACAGGCCCATGTTCCACTGCTGCATACATGCTTTTGAAATATTTTATTTTTTGACATAAGAAAGTAATATGTCTAGTGCACAAAATTTAAATCAATTTTTTTTTTTTTTTTTTTTATTGATAAGACTGACCTGGGATAGATCATTGAAAGGGAGGAGGATGGGGTCAGTGTTTATAAATATCCACCAAATGCATAGTGAAAAATTCCTCTATAAAAGATGATGGCAGTTGGCTAAGAAAAAGTAACACTTAAAAAAAAAATTCAGGTTCATTTTTGTTTTGAGTCTGTAGAGTGGGGGTGCACTTATCCTTTGGAGAAACAGCTACTTCATAAGAGGCGCTCAAGAAACGGTTAAGTCATCTTTTTGCTCAACTTGATATAATCTTTATACAGCCTGAGATTCCAGTTTAGCGTAATGCAATTCCAGAGACAAAGAGTTGCAAATCTGTAGGTTTCAAGTAACTTAAGGCTTTTAAAATTTCCTCCAGTCAGATTTTCTTCAAAAGTTCAGTTGCAGAAATTTAAACACACGCACGTACATATATCTGTATATATATGACCTTCCTCTTTTCCAAGCTGCCCTCTGGCATATCTTTTCCATCTGATGTATTTCTGCTGCTAAAGCTGAAAGAGATTGCATAAAGGGAAAAAAAGGCACACAAACCGTGTGAAACAACAGACCCGAACTTGTGCAGGCACTGGTGTGCCAGGCCAGTTGGGAAATCCCTCTTGGTACTGAACCGCTCGTTGGACTCAAAAGTTTTTGCAATCCAAAGCCAATCCAATTTTCATTGCAGCACTTTTTTTCCACCAGAGACCCAACACAGCCTGAACTGTTTATCACGCTATCTTGCCTGCTTTCCCACTTTTTGCTGCCACACACGAATGAAAAAGAACCCTCTCTTCATTTATAGCAGAATCCAAAATGCTCTAAAGCTTTTAGCTTTCAAAGTAGATAAGTTTGCCTCAGGTGAACCGTGAAGTTCTCTCTCCTGTGAAACAGGCTAAAATGTCAAGCTGTTTTTCCTTTACTTTTCTGGTTTTTTTCTGCTACAAGGAATCACAGACTTTTCATTCTACCATAAAAAACAAATGCCAGAATTAAAGCACATCAAGTAAGCACTCTTTCAAAATCTTCTAAAATTCAAGGAAGGAAGAATTATAATCATCTAAAAAAGAAAGAGAAGCAGCATTAAAAATCTGACTTCCTGGGTTCTCTATTTCTCTAGGTATTTTCCTTGTTTGTTTGATCGGATCTTTCCTTCTTGATGCTTGTCTACAGCACAGATTCATAGTTCCAGACACAACATTTGCAGCTGTACAAGAAGGAAACATATGAAGTATTCCAATCGTTTTATTTGAATAACATTTATGAGCTCAATTAGCTAGTATTTATACCACACCAAGCGAAAAGAGGAAAAAAGAGAGGGAGAAAGAATATGCAAGTCTGATGACCTGGTTAACTCAAGGATGGTGAGGTTTGCTCAGTTCAGTGCCCAGACTTGTCCCATAGTTCCTCAACTTATTTACTTCTAGTCATCATTACTCAGCAGGTCACAATTTATTAGTCCATTCACAATCTATCTACTGAGCCCAAAGCAAAACGTGCCGAAGACCATTATTCTTCTGCTAGAACTAAATGAGTTTCCTCTGCCCTCTTGATTTTTCTGTTTCCCTCACAGCTATTGATTTAGATTGTGGAGGTATTTAATAGGCTTCTTCTGCAGAGGGTGTTTCTTCCTTCTCTTCTTGCAAACTTTTTTCAGCCGTGAAGACCTGTTCATGTGCAAAGTTGAACGTTACTGGCAGGTGTCTTTCCATGGATTACGGATTCCTGTGCTGCAAAGGTGCTCCATCTGGTTCTCAGATTAATTTTCATCAACTGCAAAGCTCTCAGGAATGTGCCAGATAAAGTCTACGTGATGACAGAAACATGTGTGTTTTCATGTACATGCAGTGCACACACCAGTCTGGTGCTCAGAGCTGCATCTGCCTTCCCAGTTTAGGTGCGGTAATCTTGTAAGACGCCCGTTACTCAAAACTTGAAATGCCTGGATTCTTCCAACTCTGCAAGGCAAAGCACACACACACACACACGTAAAAAGAAAAAAGTGAATAAAAAAAGTCACAAAACAAGTTAAAAATACTGGTACTACTGTTGTAGTAATCAAAGTATTATGATTAAGGATTTTATATTGGACCCCTATAAAGTATATTATATATATATATAAAAACATTATTCAGACACATACATTTGATATATTTGTATTTGACATACACACAAAAGACAAACGACAAATTTTTTTTTTACACTTCTAAAAGTTTTCACAATGGACATGTATAGCTAACGAAATGTATCTGGGACAGACACTTTGTTGGGGAGAGGAGGGGAAAGGGCTTTGTCCTGGTCACAGTCTCTGGAGCAAAGTCTTAAAAGATTTCACAGCTTTGAAATGAAGATGGGTAAGAGCAATGTTAGTGATAGAGCAAGTACAGGTTTAGACCCTGAGATACACCAACAGAAGCACAGAATGGCTGACCTGGAAGGGACCTCTGGCCATCACCTGGTCCAACCACTACGCTCAAGCAGGGTCACCTGCAGTCAGTTGCCCAGGACTGTATCCAGGCAGCTTCTCAATGTCCCCAAGGATGAAACCCTATGAACTCTCTGGGCAACCTGTGCCCGTGCTTAGTCATCCTCAGTCAAGTGCTTCCTGATGTTTAGAGGGAACAATCTATGTTTCAGTTTGTGCTCATTGCCTCTGGTTCTGTCACTGGATACCACCTTTAAGCCTGTCTCTTTCATTTAACTCTCTCCCATCAACTGTACACAACAAAAAGATCTCCTTAAGCTTTTTCTTCTCCAGGCTGAAGTCTCAGCTCTCAGACTTTGCTCATAGAAAAGATGCTCCAAACCATGAAAACACGGTACTGAACATATCCGTCTCAAAGAGACTGTGAAGATTCCTCCAGGGCTTAAACTACTGATTTAAACAGTTCTAAGGTGCTTCCAAATTAAAGCTTAAAAGTCTGAATTAATAAAGATGAATTTAAAAACTATTCAAATCCTGCTTAAATCTCCATTTGAAAAAGGGGAGACAAATTCCCCAAAGTCAGTTTTATACAAAAGAGTGCAAATAAAGCACAAGAGACCTAGCAAAAGGCCATTCAGGATATTCCAGAAGTTGTTTCCGAAGTGCACACATATGCACAGTTAATGCATCTACACAGTTACTGCTAAAGAGAGCTCATTTAAATTCAGAGCTGCATTCATAACAGTCATCAGAGCTGTAAAAATGGTCTTGTCTTTATTACATAAAGCACCATAGTAATCTCGTTTCCTGTAATTAACCACTTATTTCATTCTAGTATAGACACATTAATTAATTTTGTTTTAAAAAAAGAGAATAGATAAGAAAACAAATTTATAGTCACAAAGGCAAAGTTGTGAAGTAGTTTACAACACTACACAGTTGGCTGACCTATCAGAAACACTGTCCATGAGATTTGTTGAGTCACTGCCAGACCTCCACAGCACTACAACTCACTGAAGTCTTAAAAATAATGGCTGCTATTAATTTCTTTTTCATCATGGCAAGATGATGATATGAGAAATGTCACCTTCCCAAATTTCTGGTGCTTATCAATTACAGTCCTGAGAAAGTTCATATATAGGAAAACACTGAAAAACTTTCAGAGTACAATGGTTTGTAGACGAACTTCTGCATTTATCCCCTAAGTAAATTTGATCTTTTGAGGGATCAGTGCCATTTTTTCCGTACCCATTGGAATCTTCCTAACAGACATCTGCATTCAAGAGTTGACATTTTATATTAGCAGCATGAGTATTATGATGCAAACCTTTACTAATCTTACAGAGAAATAAAAAAAAATGTTTACAGAGAAAATAAAATCCCTCAAATACCAGTTAGAGCAGAGCGAGGTAAGCATTAAACAGAATTGTTTGAAGTATACAAGAATCATGAGTTTACAAGTGGATTTTAAAATACAGGTAACTATAGATACAGTGGCTTTGCATAAAATCTGTATGCAATTTCTGTCCTTATTCACTGCCTGTAAGATTAACAAGTTTGAGAAAAGGATTCATCTGCATCTTGGTCAATAACCTTCTCTTACCGTATTCCCATTTACCATCACTTTCAAAACTAGACAGACCAAAGGCTTCTCCTCTTAAAAATATCCTAACTGCATTAGAAATGCTGGACAGAGAGAGATAAAAATCTAAAATAACTACAGAAGTAATAAAATCAGCCATTATTCAAATGCATTATTCAAATACTTTCTAAATACAATACAACCTATGAGAATATTTTACCTTTAAATCACTGGGGATCGACATTACCTTTATGTTATATTCAGAGACAAGAAAAAAAAAAAAAAAAGGACTTTTAAGACTGTAGTATCAAACACTCAAAATACAGGCTGAATTAAAATTACATGTATTAAGTCTTTCCATTCCCTTCTTCATTTCCATCCATTCCATATTTCCTAAGAAATAACCTAACTAAAAGATTCTAGTGCTAGTCCTACCTCTAGAAAATCAGTAATTTAGACATTCCCCTTCTGCCACCATTACAGCAGTCTCACAGTTCTGTTTATTTTCATATGCTGAAACCAAGCTTTTTGTCTTGCTTTTCCCCACCACAGAAATGGCTTCCACCTCTGTTGTGGTGTGTGCAATAGCAGAGGATAAAAAGCATGATAGAAGAGCTGGGTGTTACCTGCACAATCCTACCACTAGTCCAAAGTCATTTTGGGCTCACCATAAAAAGAGAACTTGGCCTTCCAGACAGAACTCATTTAAACTAAATGTTAAACTGAAGATTTTTTTATAATCAAACTTTATGCATCTTCCATTCCACAGCAGTGCAAGGACTAATCACAGAAGTACACCACAATCTGCTTTTGCTGGTAAACTATCTCTAATTCTACTAGGACAATGAATATCAACAAATTGCCTACACTCACGCTCACTTACAAGGTAGTTGAAAGTATCTTTTCTCCGGATTTTCCCTTTAACAAAGGGAGATGGTACTTGAACTCATCCTCTAATACTGTTGAGTCTAAGCCACTGACATAAAACAAATACTCAAGTACAGACACCTAATGAAACAAAAACATATTAGAGCTGTGACACAGGAAAGCAGGATCCACAACTATATTATTTTGTTTTGAAAGCATAGCTCTTCTCAAATTCAAAACCCAGCAGCAAGTTATGTTTCTGTATGACAGAAAATTAGGTACTAATTTTAAAAAATTAGCTTATAAACAGTAGTTCTCCTATTGCAGTGTCAATATCTAACTCATCACTTTTATCTTCTGTTTCTATTAACTTATATAAAAGTGTGTTAAGCCACAGCTGGACAACCAGAAAAATATTTGTTTGTTCTCATGCATCTTTCATTGAGGTGTCTCTTTAGTTGACAGAAAGAAGCCATGCACAGCTGAATGTACCAACACTGCATCAAGCTCTTCAGTATTTCATGTTTATTCAAACCCCTACTCTTCAAGGCTCCAGAGCAGAGAATCTGAAGGTGAAGATAAAAGGGGTCTGGGAAGGGAAAGAAAGCAAAGGAAAATTAAAGTGAGTACACACTACTTTTGAATTATGATCTCTAATAATAATATGAAACTAAAACAAATATGACTCACAGCCTGGTTTTGGAAGATTCTGGCTGCCCAAGCATCTTAAGAAACAGAAGATAAAGAGTCTCTGAAAAGACTTCAGGATTTTACAGCCTAAGCAGATTTCTTACCTCCCAAACCTGTATAAGGTCAAAAGAAACTGTAGTTTTCCCTCCCTTTACAGTCTAAGAGGGAAAAGATGTACACCACTGTCCACAAAGATAGCAAGGTATTTTAGACCACAAGTGGTTTGGCACAAGCTGATGGCAGATGATCCCACCAGCTATCAAACGGGGAGCGACCTCCAAGGTTATTGCTGAACACTACAGTACAAAATTGGCACATCCTGTAATAGAGTTACTGTATTACAGGCTAAATACTATTGAGATAGAAGCTGGTAAGATGATACAATTTGTTGTTTGCTTAGACCAACCTATAAATTAACAAAAATTATTAAACAATCCTACCAAAAAAGGGAAGGAAAATTATTTTAAAAAACTAACTTCATTCCTAAAAAGCCTGAAGAAAATATTAGCTGCCTTGGAGATAAAGGATTTTTTTTTCCATGAAAAATGGGCCAATTCCATAGGGAAAAAAAATGTAATTTTGACCTGAATAGGTACTGGTTTTCCTCTATTTTCATTCACATCTTCTAACTACCTTTCCTTTATTCACTTCCCATTGTCGCATAAGTCACTCAGGTTAACACCTTCCTTGCATATTACAGAACAATACAAAATTAATTTGAAGGACGTGATTCGAAATAAATATCAATAAGGTAACCAGTGGTTATGAAAATGCTCAATACCCCAAGAAAAATGAAGGAAGAGTAGAGATTAAAAGAAAGTTAGAGGATGCTTGATTTTTGTTGTGGTTGTTCTTAAATGGCTTTCTTTTCACGGTATGTGTCCTTGTGCAAGTCTAGAAGCTCTTCCCCTGCTTCAAGACAGTCATATTAATTAGAGATGCAGAACAATCTGCAGCTCCAGCATAGCTGCCACAAACCAGACCTGCAGCAAAGGTGTAATGTCAGGCACTGTGATGTGACACTGATAACTGCCAGCCCATTAATACAGGCACTGTAATCTTAGTTATGTACCTATGTATCATTAAGAAGATAAAACTGACCAAAAAATTATTTCTTGGCATATTGAGGGAAGTGGAACTTGCATTAGAGGCTGTTCAGCAGGAATTCATTGTGAATATTGACAGAATTTATTTCAATGCCATCTCCTCCCCAAATTACTCTTAGAAGGGAAAATAAAAAACAGTAGTAGCTGAATGAGCCTCCTGAGCTCTTGTAATAGTAGAGAAGGCAATATATGTATGTTGTATACATTTTTTAAAGTACAAGATCTTTTCATTATAGCTCCTACATGAAAAATAAGATAAATATCTGTATTATTTTTAGAACAATTAT